ATCCTGAGGTCTGGTTCCACTTCAACAAGGCGGGAATGTTGCGACCCGGTATTTTATTTTGATGGCCCGGTCAGTAGCGGATTTGCAGTTTTGGCCGCCCTAGGCCCCAGGCCATGTAGTCAGTGCCAGCAATGGTTCAGTAGTTTTTAAGTTTATAGCGATCAGACAGACAAATAGACGTAGTGATGTAGATAAAATGTACGAAAGTAATTTAGGAAGATTATTATTATACGATGCGGTACAGTGCGACCCGCCATAACGTGCATGAGCCTTTACAATATTTAGGCACTACGAGTTATTTCTTGTTATCAGCAGCGGAACGTATAAATGGATTGACCATGATGATAATTCATATTAAACATAATTGGTTGATGAATTCACCATCTCAGTCAGTCGTGATCACGGTACCGTTGTTTTCTTTGAGAAAATAAATATACGTGATTTCGACTCGAAAAAAATACTTTAATTTCCAATGTGAAAGAACTCGATAATTAATAAAACCTTGTACAACAACACCATTTGAATGAAGATCAAACAGATGCCATAACATAACATAACAATGAAGTATATACTGCCTCATGTAGAATGCGATTAGACACATGAACATGTTTATGATGTTTAACTAATTTAATGCAACCTATTTTAAGAGCGATGCAGGTGACGGCGCAGTCAAATATTGATACAGTCAATAACATAAGACTTGTACGTGGGAACGGCAAGTGTTGGATAAATTTCGGCATAGAGTAAAAAGGGTAAGTATTCAGAAGGTACAGACAAGGCACTTATAGTTGCCTACAACTGTGAAGAAACATGTACGCATGCACGATAGGTTACATTTTGTGTCTGGATTAACATCTAAGAGCGTATGCGTGTGATAGTTTGAGATTGCAAAACAAAACTATAGATGCTTAAAACATATTCAATTTCGATTATGAGCAGACATTACAGTAGCTATTTGTGATCAAGAAAACGTATTTATAGAACTAACAATATAACTTTTATTTCGAAATAATAAAAGCTTTAATACCATCCCCAGACTATATTAAAAACTGTAAAAACACAAGAATAGAATACAGTCATTTTTATTTCTATTTATCGCTGTCACAATATGACAATTTAAAATACAACATCAAGGAGTACGGTATTGTGATTGTCACTATAAACAACAATAATAGTAAATATAACAAAATAGTAGGATAGGAAAAGTTAAGTATAAAATATTGTCAAATGTTAATGATGACAAATGGATTTTTATAAAATATGACGAAATGCTTTATACCCGACTGAAACTCCTTTATGTATACATATATTTCGTCGTCGTCTTAGTCTGGTAAATGTAGAAGATAATCATAAAAAATATATGAATTTGAGAATAGCCTAGCCAATTGAACACACAACGTTGCGTTTTAATGACCTATTTCAGTGAAAGATAGGCAAACACCATTCAAGAATTCAAAAGTACAAAGCAAAATTAATAAAACTAAATTCGATTGTCACTACTGTCGCATATTTATTATGCTTTGAAACAGCGAACATTATTAAAAAGACGTGCTCCACATCGTTGTAGACATACGGGAGTCATAAAGATAAAATAAAGTGCAGTATGCGCCACTCAAGGCACTTAAATATAATATCACTTGCGCGAATTTCAATGACATTTTTTCTAAAACTGCTACTATAAAGATAAGGCGACAATGGAATTATGAATTCGGAAACTAAGCTTGTTATATTTAATTTGTTAAGACGTGGAATGTAAGATTAGAATCCAGAGCAGAAGATTATTTGTAGTACCTATGTTACGACCAAGCATAAAATAGTCCTTGAGTACTTTGCTGACAAGAAAATAGTACTGTACAGACTTAAGGATGGCCTATGTCGTGATGTCCACGAAAGATACATAATTATTTTTAAAGTCTGAAAATGTTTTATTTCTAGTTTACTACCGAGTGTTGTCTACAAGAATGTACATATCCTGATATCCTCAACTTCAACCAGATAAGCTAAACCGAAGCCAAGCACGAATGTTCTCTGTAGTGCAAGTGTTCTCGAATAAATGTAGAACATGAAAAGAGTCAGTTTTTTTCGATGCACTGAAGTTGATCACATGTTATTACAAGACTTCCCGCCTCTTTATCCTGTCCTCATTAAGTCAATCGTATAGAGCATATAGAACTCATAACTTTAAAAAAAATTAAAGGGAATCATAAACTGACAGATACGGAGTTCTGTCATCTATACGTCATTCCACTACTCAACCTGTCAAACCACATATCCTTAAAGATCTTAAAGCGTATCCAATTTTAGCAGACACCGAATTCTTAAAGCAAAGTGTCATACAACTCTTCAAGCCTCGTATATTTTTAATAAACAGTATCCTGGCATGCTTAACGGATACGGTTAATCTGACAGGTTGTACGGTCGGATGTTTTGACAGCGAACCAATTACCTGCCACTTTGTTTGTCGGCTGTTCCCCGCATTCACATCCTGAGCATTTGAGGAAGAGGGGACTGGGTAACCAGGACTGGATAGCGCTGGATGGGAATCATGTAGTTCTCATAAATGTTTGGAACTCATTTTCCAACTGAGTCGATCGTTTTACTCAATTTTACATATAGGATTTCCTGTAAATCATGATTAATACTGAAGGCCTAAAAGCAAAAACTTTGGACCTGATAAAATCCGAAATTGTTGGGCGCCTCAAGCGGAAAAAACTTTGCAGTAGGTACTTTGTTTGGATACTGATCCTGAATGAAATTATATATTCATTTCACGATATAAAATATAAGCGCCAATGTGCATACTTGGATTGTAACACAAGCCAACAATGAAATATTTCCAAGTACAGCTGAATGGGACAGGGTCAGCCGCAGCCGCGTCAATGCATGCACTGTTCTTTAACTGCGGAGATCGCCGGAACGCACAAGTTACATTATGGTTTCACTGCTCATGTTGTTTAGGGGGATTTTGAATGCCATGAGTTTACAGTGACAGTATGTAAAGTGCTTGTTTACAAGACGTTACTTTTTCTTGTGATCGCTGGGGCGCACAAATTGCCCATAGAACCTCAAGAATTTTGACAAATATGTAACGCGGACAGCGACAACTGCCACTGTAAAATCATGGTCAATGCACAACTCATATAGAAAATCAGAAGTCACTTTGATGGTTTGGAAACAATGCTCATTAAATACCCTAGAACCTTGTCACTTGATGATTTAAATATATTATTTGTGTTTCGTTTATTAAACTCAAACTAAATGCGTATCATATAAACTACCTTCTTTGACTTTGCAACCTCATGCGCATAAATAAGTTAGTAGACATTACCGTACGTAAACAAGGTACAAGTGTTGATGGATACAACTAGGTATGTCGTCACATCGTAAAAATCCCAGATGGTAATATCAAGATGAAATTTCTAGACATGCGACGATTTTTCTATTTACAGATGATAATAGTCGACACTTTTAATCAATAATTATGTTTTTTTAATTAAGTACACATTTGCTTATTAGATATTGAGTCATAAGGGGAAATCATAACCGGAAAACACTTTAAATAAGTAATGTTAAAAACGACTACGTATTTCTTTTGAATTTACAAGCCATGAGAAACCTGAGCAAAACAAATTATTTCCACAAAATATAATTTTGAATATATTTTGAATCATAAATGGTGAATGTGCCTTAAAATTGAGAGAAATGCTTTCTTGACGATTTATCACTTTAGTGAGGCTCCAAATAGACAACATAATTAATTATGTATATTGGATGTCTATAAAATTTGATGTAAATGGTGTTTTGTGCAACAAAAGTGTGTTATAGTAACGACAGAACTAAAAAAAATTTCATTGCATTCATAATAAACATGTATGGAAATAAAATTAGTAATTAATAAGTAATAGAACAAGACAATACAAACTACAAGAAAAAACGTAATTTGCACATAAATTTTATGGTAATTTTATGAACATTTTCCCGATTAAATAAATCGTCGTTCAAAGAAGTCGTTGTAAAAGTCAAGGTCGTAGGTAAAATTTAAGGCATATATGACAGTATTGTGAAGTTAAAATGTTATTCTTTGACTGTTAATGAGAATATTGGCCGCTGACTGCTTCTGCTTATGCGTTAGACATTGTAAAGTAGCTTCTTTAGCATTGTGTTAACTCTATTATGATTATAGTACTTACTAGGGATGTACACAAGATACCTGCCAGACACAGCATATACGTCTAAAACAACTATTTAGTATGTATTTTAATTTAATGTGTACTTTTGTATGATCAGAAATTCATATTCTATGAAGGCCATGCTCTTTTAGACTTATTTTTTAATATGCACTTAATGTTCTTTAATCTACTACCCTAAAATAGAGGATATTTTTTTTTAATCAACTCTGTTTACTTACTCGGGAGATACTCAGTTGACATTAGCAGATATAACTGATGTGAGATGAGACATTATTAGGTTGATCTCAAATTTGGGAATTCCTTATACCATGAGAAACCAAGAACACCAGAACCAATTTAGAAAAGTTTACAAAATTGGTTGTACATTCTCATCAAGCGCCCAGTGCTAACCACTACGCCACTGAGATCATCAAAAAGTAATGTGGCTTGCTATCAGATTGTATTTTAAATTTTATTCTTATGCAACAGACTATTGCAGCTATTATATAATACGAATAATTACCTACATTTACAAACAGCTGCTCATTTGTGTATGTTGGTAAAAAAATTATACCTTGTGTCTTGTGTGTCTTCGGAAAAACAACGTCAAGGTCAATCACTACAAACAATGTTGTCAGTTTTATTTACATGTATTGTTGATATTTTTGTTGAGAAACGCTTGTAATATTTTTTTATTATTTTTTTTAATTATAATTTAGACCCATTATGTAAAATGATGAAAATACTTTAATTAACAGCCACATAAATATAATGTAAAAATATATAATAATATTACCACTAAAAAATTTAAGGTATCGTAAAAAAACTTACCGCAAAACAGAATAGCGAAATCGAAGATAATTTTTCGCAACAAAAACTTGGATTCACGGTCCACGGTTAAAGAATGGGTACGGGAGTTCGCTTTGCGTTCGTTTCTCTCCATTTTAGATTAGTGCCCAACCGGATTTCAAAAGAAATTATAAAGAAAACCACAAATACACAATACGATTCAAATGTTACGAAATAAACGTCAAGCCAGGGAGAATCGTTCATAAACACAATTCACGTCAACTACGAGACGCATGCGCGCGCCGACTGCACCGGCCGAGAAATGTCAAACCATGCGGTGCGTTTACGGAGCCTACTATTTTACTCAGGCGGTAAGTCGTTGTTATTAAACGGCTGATAACGCGTTTCGCAATTGTGGTGATTTTTGCTTTCGATATGTTATACAGGGTCAAGAGCGCCTCACGTCTGATATTTAAGATTTAAATTGAACTTTAAGCTACGGTAAGAACGGTGTAAAGTGTCAAGTTTTATGCTCTTTATTGTACTATAACTATTGTTAATTCCTTGCTACACTATTTGCCCGTGTTATAGGTACACGTACGTGGTATTGATGTGTCTCTTATAGGGATAAGGCCATGAGCAATCTACCATGCTGATTCAATGTGCGAAATCTATTAACAAGGGCACATCTGTCTATCAGCGTAGCGTAATCCGTGGTCTGTGGTATATTCGATATTTCTGTTTTATGAGCGACATAGATGTCATAATAAGCAACTGGAATCTCAAGATAAGCAGCAATGTATTCATGTACACCTGTTAATCACTAACGTATTATTTACTCTACAATTATTATTATCACCTACAAATGCTCCTTTATTGTGTTTAGTTATGTTTACTTACTCCTCTAATTTAAAAAATCTATCTACGTACGACTCGATTTTGTTACTAAACAAACGATGTAAAATTTACATATTTTGTATCGTTCAGATAACCAACAGTAGATACGACGCTACACGACAAAAGGTCCTTTTAATCCCATTTAAACTAACTTTTTTTGAAGGCACACAAAGGCAAAGGTATGCCGCTACCGTGGAAATAGGTAGCCGTCACCAGTGGATTTAATATTTACCCAAGATTTTGAATTATGTTTTTAAGCTTTTTATTAATGGTGACATTTGTATCTATATCTTAGAGTCTTAGAAGGTAAGCGCAACTGATTCACCTTAAAACTGTTTTTATTTTTTCTATTTTTATGAGTGATGGGATGAACAAGCAGCAGTTGCAATGCCAGTCAGAACTGAGGGGACTGCCACTGCCCTCTTCACCCTCAGACATAAGTTGACAAGTCCCGTAATTATGCCTGTAATTAGATGTTACAAACCCAATTTTATCAGTACTCTCACCCTTCAAAACCGGAACGTAGTAAAGCTCACATTATTTGCTTGGCGGCAGTAATAGGTAAGGTCGCAGTACTTCACAAGGAGCTCTAACTGCGTTTAAAATGCTCTAGCACACTTGTATTAAACATTGGGATTTTGTTATATTTATTTTATTACAAGTCTGGGCAATATTTAAATTATTTGTAATTTTAATATGTAGATATATATATGTGTTTCAAATGCCAGTATGCGTGTTTTGTATAAATTATGTATTTCAGGTACTACGTAAAAAATAATTTTGTAATTAGTCTTGCAACCTGGTAGTAATGTATTTTGTATATAATAATTAAGGATCGGAACAGGTAGAGTTTTCTTACTTAAACTTCGAGGAACATAGACAGAAAATGGAGACTACCTCACGACAATATTTTTTAGGTCCTGGACCTGTTCGGGATTCGGGAAATCACATAAGTACATTAAAAATTGACGTAATTGGGGACAGGCAGGTACACTATATTTGTCTTAACTTTGCGACATAGTGGGTCGGATCAGCGATATTGCGGACATTGGATTTTTTTCACGATACCTCTCTAAAAAAATGCCAATCGAGAGATTCTATTGTCCTAATTAAATATTGTTATATCATATTTTGCCATAAATCAAATAGTTTAGTAGAAAAAAAATAAAATGTATATTTTTTTGTATGGGACTGTACCTTTAGTGCCATTGTTACAGTCTTACTCGATCCAGTCTTGGAATTACTATTTCTGTGGTGTCGGCGTAAGCGTAGTATCTAATAATGATTGTAATAACAATTTGTATTTCGAAAAAATGAGGTCAGAATAAACTGTTCTGTATTTTATATTTTCAACACACGTCTTTTGTATTTCGTATTTAAAATATTTATACGAAAGTATTTTTAATTAATATGTTATATAAGACGCTGTGTATTTTGCTCGGCCTTGACTACAAGTAATATTTAGAACTTATAAGTACCTATAATTATGTAACATTATAAATGTGCAATTTATAATAATTTTAGATATCTAAAAATAAATTGTTCACAAAACATTGCACAAAACTCATTGTAGGTATACGATAACAGAAGGAAAAATATGAACGAAAGAATAGAAACATGCCTGTCAGGGACTCCCATTTGAAGCAGCACACTCTATTACGACATCTGAGGATTGCACCCAACCCCAGGACCAGCTCGTCTCCACGAGACGCGGGCTTGAGACGACCACAGGAAAAAAAACGGTATTTTTTGTTGAAATTATTGCCGTACTGTATTGTTTTGAAGAACACAATGCCATAAGAAAAATGTTATGGAGGGAATACAGGTACATCATTATAATCATCCTTTCAGCCGAAAGACGTCCGCTGCTGAACATAGGCGTAGGCTAGGCCATAGGCCCCAAAGAATGCCACAATTTGTCCTGCGCTGCGCTGTGGACTTAAGTTTTGCAATTCTTTAGGCTGTCGGTTACTCTCGTTCCTTTGCGGGTATCCTCATTACTGATTCGACCTCAGACTGTAACTCCGATAATAGCCCTCTCCATTGCCCTTTTGTGTGACCTTGATGACTGCAAAGCATAAAGTGGTTCGAATAGCAAACAGAATTAATTGAATTCTTTATATAACTTTATTATCCTTTAAACCAGTCAATGAAGTAAAACAACCCTGAAGGAAGGCTTGTATTGCCCAATTTGTGTAGGTATATTTACTTGGAGATAAATTACTTCGTTATTTATTGGTAAAATACAGTAATAAAACCCCAAAAGTATGATGTAACTTGCGAGAACATTGGTCAAACAAAGTAGATAATAATAGTTAAGTCATGCATGTTTTTAGATTAAAAACCGTGCAACACTAAACGAATAAGCTATCCGATAAGAGAGTACCTACGTAAAATTAAGATCCAAAGAAATTGTTTATTGCATATTTCTTTATTTTCAATATATACTGCAATAAAATGCACTGGGTAGGTGCCTGGCTACCGGAAATCACATTGTGGAGATTGTTAAAAAATACGAGGATAGTACAAAAAAGTCAAGACGTCTATGTAACGTAGGTACCTCCTCGTTGATCAAATGATATTGTGTGGGAATCTTGAGAAATCTGAAATTAATTTTTGGTAAAAATAAATTTTTTTTGGTAAATGCAAAAATAAACTTTTGTAAAAACGAAGTTTGGCTTTCAGTTGCGCCATCTATTAATATGTGTTAGAACTAACTGGTGAGCGACTAAAGTATAAACGGTGAATCAGGAAATTACCAACTCCACGTAGTATATACGATCAAGTTTTAGTAAGATCCGCTAGGTGTCATTGTGAGCGTTGCCATTAGTACATATTTGTGTCGATAGATGTCGCTGCTTGAACCTGAAAAAGTAAATTAAAGTAGAACTTGGTTCACAGCACAACGGCTCGACATGTGTTTAAAATTATTTTGTTTCTAACAATGTTTTAATGTTTTTTCAGAAATAAATCTTCTCGTACTTGCCTTCGTCCTATCATGTCCTACACAATCAGATGTTTAGGACATCCAATGGAGTAGGGGTTTGTAACTATATTTTGTCTATATTTCTATGTATTAACCTATTAAATATCTAGGTATTTTGAATTGAAGGGTTCGTCCATGGTTCGCTAGAGTGTGACGGAGGCCTCTCCCAAGCTCTGTATTTACTCTACCGCTCTGCTGTGATGGGATACTATAGATTGGAAATATTATATTTTAAAAATAACTGCCTGAAGTAATAAAAACAATATTTTTTAAATCCCTATTAAACAGCATAAAATATTCCCCTCGTGACTATACATAATAAAACGGGGTATTATGTATATTAAATTACTTTAACCCCCCGAATTTTCTGGAGAATATTGTTAAAAGTAAAATACCTATTCATATTATATGCAGGTCAAGGTAATGTGTTACTATGCCAAGTTTAGTAACAATAGAGCTCCTTGTGAAAGAGTTCATCTAGGGAAATGCTGCCACCTTATATATTTCTGCCGTCAAACAGCAATGTCAGTATTACTGTGTTCCGGTTTTGAAGTTTGCGTTCCGGTGCTGGTGAAATTACAGGCAGATAGGATTGATAAATCCCACTTACGCCTCAGGGTGACGAGCGAAGTGGCAGTGCCCCCTCAGATCTTTGCGATTTTAAGCTCTGAGTGGCACTGCAACTGTTATGGACAGGCTGGCTTACCTTCAGGTGCACGAATTGTTCGTCCCGTCACTTGATATTATAAAAAGAAAATTCAGCTACGTCAAAAAAAAATTAAAATAATCCTGTCACTGATAGGTGGAATACATCTTATAGGGTGGAAAAAAAATAAAGAATACATGCATAACATGCCAATTTTTTTTTTATGGAAATCTATGGTACATGTACTTTTAATGATTTTTTTTAAATATCATTAAGGCTTTGGCAAAGCCATCAGCCTAAACATGAAGTTTAATTATGTTTCTGTAAATATGGCCGCCACAAAGAGGATAGGCAATTTGACGCGGCGTGCTTGGATTGAACGGGGATCCTGGTGACCTGTATTACAGGTATCTTTATGCCTATCTCAGGCACCAGTCTCTCGCAAATAAGGTTGAATATTAAACTCATTAGTCAGTAAGCATCTTTTGTTTAAACTATTCACCTTGTATGTTGAGAGAAAATAAAATAAATTATTATTATTATATTATTATTGACTCGGGATTCCGTAACACGGGTCGATACGGGTATTTTAGTTCGAGATTCGTATAATTTCGCGTTTTAATCTTCGATTAAGGCACAATAGCACTATCCTATTCCACTTTAAACTAGATTTTACAAAATAATTGAAAGTCAAAATAAAAACGACACTTTTCCCTCCAAAAGGTCCAGAGCGAATCTACTTTTAATGATAGCCTACAGACTAGTACCTACTTTACCCAAGTAGGTACGGTACCTACAATAGAATAGATTTAGTATAAAGTACCTACTTGTGTACATGGAAAGCAAGCACAAAGTTTGCGTTAGGCTGTAGGCGGATAATCCGGCTCGGCCGCTTAGTGCTTATCTTTTGAATTGAAATGTTTGTTCGCCGGATTCGGGGGATGTAGAAAATCTCTTCAAAGAGATCAGTTTGGCTTTCTTGGGTAATATGTTTTATCTAAGAATTAAGTAGATATATGTAGGTATTTTGGAAGCTTTACGTAAACTGTTAATAATGTTAGCTTTCACGTTTGCGTGTTTGTAGTTTGTAAGTAGGTGCAGAGCTACCTATAAATTAGTCACCTACTCGTAATATGAACTCGGATCAAATGTTAAAAAAGTTAGAATAACAATCAGAGTTAGTACGTACATTTTTAAGTGTATGTTTTTGTTTTTGGATTTTTTCTTAATTTTTACCCATATTTATTTGGGTAGGCAAAGGTATGTACCATACAGCCACTGCACTGATATCCATTGTAAAGTTTTACTTCTTGTGATTATTGTTTCAGGAATTTTTATAAAACTTTGCCGTTTTCGAGATTGGGTGTTGTAAATTATTGATTTTGTTAAGAATTTAACTTGGTTTTAACCGTCGTGGCATTAAGTAGGAACATTGTTAAATTCTTTGCAACATTGTTGTTATGTTATGTAGTGGCAGCGCCGTTCAGATCTTTGCGATTTAAAACTCTGAGCACTGGAACTGTTTATGGGTAGGCGTGCTGCTTACCACGCCCATGCGAATTTGTAATGTCAGTATTCTAATCTAGTGTGGTAGTCGGTTACAATAGACATAAAACCTATTTTTATGGCATGACATTCTGGGTATTGTTGGAATTATGTCGAAAAAGGAATTGTTTAAAAAAAAGTATACTTTTAACCGACTTCAAAAAAGGAGGAGGTTCGATTGTATTTTTTTTGTGTGTTTGTTACGCGGCCACTTGTGAATCGATTTTGATGATTTTTGTCCCATTTAAATTTGAAGAAAATATGCCATCTCTAAGGGTGGCAAACTAGGGGATGAATCCGGTTTGGCGCACTTTCCGTCAACCGATTTAAATAAAACTTATAACAGCAAACAGATGTAATTTCAATAAAACAGCCGATAAGCAAATTTTAAGGTCGGTTTTTTTTAATATACCTACCTAAAGGTAATAATTATTGTAAATGTCTTTTCTTGTATCAATTGTGATTTTAATCAGTAACCGTACGTAAGATATTTTCTGACTGTGGACGGAGGGAGGTATTTTACCGTGCACCCCTTGTAATATCACCGTATTAATATTTTTCAACATCCTATTTATCCATTTTAATGCTTATCTTATCTTCGGCTTTGTGTACAACGAAAAATTATGATTGACATTCAAGATTGTCTGAGTGCATAAAAAAAGCTGATAAACAAAAGATTATGGAAATTTCTGTGCTCTGGGTTGTATTGAAATTAAAAAGTCGGCGATCATTAGACGATTTCATGACTTAAACTAAAAAAGTTATTATTTAAGTGAATATTAGACGAAAAATTGATTCCCTATCGATGCGCAACTGTTTTTTCTGTTTTTTATTTTTATTTTTTCACTGTTTGGTACATTTGCGCGAGCAAAACTTTACAATCAAATATTTTTTACGTGACTTTTGACCTCAATTATCTCAGTTCACATATCGAAATTCTAAATTTGAGCTTCGACACGACATATAGAATTGTATTTCTTATGCCATTTTCTAATTTCATGCTTATCGGTTGAGGTATTCCTGAACAATTCCTTTCATACATTGTGCACTAGAGTGGATACCGGAAAGCTTTGCTCCCTGTGCTTCGAAGAATTGTAGCAGTTCATTTTTTCTAAATGAAGAGCGGTGGTGAAGGGTTCAAATAATATCGGCTTGCCTAAGGAACTTCTACTCCAATTTGGTATTCTATTGGTACGGTGTTATATTGGCGCTTCGGTCACAATTTGGCGGAAAAAAAAAATGCCGCGCTGATGAACAGAATGCACGGGAGCTGTTACGGCATTTTGAAAGCAATTCTGCCGCCCGCTAACTAAAACGCGGCTTAGTGATATGTGATCAAATATCCGTTTTAAACTGCATAGAGCTCAAAATTATCTATTTTCATAGTTAAAGTTAGTTAACGTATTGGATATATCGGAACTGACTATGATGGTGCTTAGCTAAAATATCTTTAAACAATTTCAATATTCTATAACCTAACCTCCGGTTAAAATAAAACGACCTCAAAAGTCATTCATCCCCTAGTTTGCCATCCTTAGAGGTGGATGATTTTCTTCAAAATGAAATGGGACCATTATGGAGATATCCTCTTTCCAACAAAAAAAGAATCATGAAAATCGGTTCACAAACACCGGAGTTATCGCGTAACATACATACGAAAAACAAAAAACATACACTCGAATTGAGAACCTCCTCCTTTTTTTGAAGTCGGTTAAAAACTGGGTTATGGTTTCTCATAATATCTCAAAAATTATTTTGTATGATTATTTTGTAGGATGTGGAAAGTCGTACAGAGGCCAATTCCGTTATTAGTTACGAGTATTGATTATTAATCTACGCTAAGCTCTACTAACATTAAAATGCACCTTTAAATGTCGTCTGAAATATACGTATAAATAATAGTAATTACAATATTATTGAAAAGAAAATGGATTCTCGTATTGCAATTTTGTTGCGTACCTCCTAAATCGACTTAGAGTTGTAGAGTTGTAGAGAGTTGTAGATTTCGGGTGTTTTCCTTTAATAAGTATCTCTTTGTATCTATTTGTTTCTTTGAGTCTAGCTTTTTGTGTGAAAAACAGACCACAAACTCCCTCAGTTTTAAAGCGACGATGGCTCGTATTTGTCTCATCATCAACAGATACACTTGCGACTGCTGTGCACGATTCTCTTTTAGGGAATGGGTTCAGGGCTAAGATCGCAACGCTGACTCAATGCGGGTTCACGCGACTTCCAAGTGTTATGATTGTGTTGAACCTTCTTCTACATGCAGGTTTCGACACGATGCTTTACTTTGTCTAAAACTATTAAACATCTAATATCAGACATCTGTTTACCATATCGTTGGGATACACTACATCATCGCAGCACAGAAGTAAGCCATGCTGACCGTATTACTAGTGACTGCTGTATGCTGAACTGTGACTGGGATATCTATGTCTGCCATAGTGGTGAAAGAATTAGCCAATGGGCAATGGTACTCCATGATTGTTGCTCAGGGTACTCAGGGTACCAATTTCTGCCGCCAAGCAGTGATGTGAGCATTACTACGTTCCGCTAAGGAAGTTGAAGAGTAAGAGACAGGCACATGGGACTTGTCAATTTATGAACGAGTGAAGTGGCAGTGCCCCTCGAATCTTTGTGATTTACAGTTCTGAGTGGCACTGCAACTGTTATGGACAAGCGTGTCGCTTACCAGGCGCACGTCAATCGGTGTAATAAAAAAAAATGTCTATAATAAACCAGATGTCTTGTTGTTTACAGAAACCACGTGTACCTACCTACGGCTTGCGCAACAAGGTCTTTTTTTGTACTTGATAAATACTTTTGGCGCAATCAATTTGATTTACCTAGTTTAATATATTTTTCACCTCACTAGCTCGAAAAGGCTTTCTTTCTCATATGTTTCTCATTAGAAAACTAGACTGGACGACGGACCTATGTTTTTCTTTCGACGAAAAAAAAACATACTGATACGTTCAACTACGCGATTTGTCGTATATTATTTATATAAATCCGTTGGTACATTTTATTGTTATTATTCTTAACATTAAATTGACAACGATGACTAAATTTGCTTATTATTTATTTTCGTTGTATGAATGAATAAAACTGATTTATTATAGTTCAACTGTTTTTCTTTAATCTACCATTTTCCTCGCTATAGGCTAGTGAGGTGAAAAGTTATGTGTTTCGCTCGGCAGCAAAGTTGTTTGCGTTTCGTGTCTTGAAATCCTCGGTACGCTGAGGATTCTATTTTTAATCGACTTAGAAAAGGAGGAGGTTCTCAAGTCGACTGTGTATTTTTTTTGTACGTATGTTACGCGATAACTCCGGTATTTGTGAACCAATTTTCATGATTCTTTTTTGTTGGAAAGAGGGTACCTCCATAGTAGTCCCATTTCATTTTGAAGAAAATTATCCACCTCTAAGGGTGGCTGATCACGCATGAACACTCGTTTTTATAAATAGCGCCTAAATTTTACTTAAGTAGCAATTATTTTAATGGTTGGTTTTGCTATTCTCCTATCCAAGGCGTTTTTCTCTCTCAATATACTTTGAGTAGTGAGAACCGATTTTTATTATCTCCTGTGTCAAGTCCTGTATAGTGGCGAACTAGGGGATATTTCAATAAAACTTGTCAAATACTTAGATGTAATTCCACGTACTTTTGAGGTCGGTTTTTATATTATATATTAGACTCCTTCGTTTACTCAGGCTTCAATACAAGCACTCGTGTCAAACAACAACTGTGCAGTTTTTCTTCTTCCTACTTATATCATTTATCATTATAATTAAGTACCTACGTACCGACGTACCCAATTGTAACGACTAAGTACCTACCCATAAGTATAGGTAAGTACATATTTCTTACATCGTCACAATTGTAGTAGCCCAACAGAACGTTTGCTTCTCAATTCTAGAGGTCTACGGTTCAATTCTCTGTCGGGACATAAACTTACGACTTCAATTTCGTAGTTAAGTGTATTTGTGACCGTTTAGTAGCAATGCCTCTCGGTAACAGTGAAGGAAAACATTGTGATGAAAAGTACTGAAAATATATTATTGACATTTTTTTTATAACATCAAGTGACGGGACGAACAAGTCGTGCGCCTGATGGTAAGCTACACGCCTGTCCATAACAGCTGTGCCACTCAGAGCTTTAAATCGCAGAGATCTGAGAAGCACTGCCACTGCGCCCGTCACCCTGAGACGTAAGTTGACAAGTCCCGCGTGCCTGTAATTTCACCAATACCCTTACCCTTCAAAACCGGAATATAGTAATAGTAAGAAATAACTCCACTATAGGTAATTATGAAGTTCATCCGTTTAGGTACTTAACTAAATGTAAACAATTTTGAGATGTCTATTTAATGAAATATACATTTATAAAATGATTTTTACTTACTTTCAAATGTAAAATACAAATACTTAGCTTCATATGAAATTGCATGCCTATTTTTTTATCCCTATTGATTTGTAAAGCATATGTTTCAATAAAAGATACATCAAGATTGTTTACATTTAGTTAAGTACCTAAACAAATGGACTATAGTTTTTATTATGAAGCTGCAGTGAAAAAGGTTCTAAAATCTCTCACTAGATGTAACTAGCGGCGGAGAATGTCGCAAAATCCAGTACAAAGATCCTTAACAAAAACACATAGAATTTTATGGATAGGCGTGTAGCTTAGGTATCACCGGGCGCGTAGGTCAATGCGCACGACATATTCGTCACTTGGTGTTATAAAAAAAACTTGACTCGTAGTTCAATTGTTAAGAGTAAGCAATACTACGAAGCAGTACGGTCGTGGGTTCAAGTCTCATCGGGTCCAAAAAGGTTTCTATGTGTTCGATTTTTGTATCAATAATCGTAATAAAAACTTGCTGAAAATGTTCACAAACGTGTGAAGTCCACAACCCGAATTGGGGAATAATCCATCTCCTTAGGGGAGATCCGTTCTCAACAGTGGACCGTGTAATGGGTTGATAATATAAATGATGATGTTACATATCGTACACTAAAAAAGTGTGATCGAAATGAACTAAATATTGTTTAAGGTGGTAATGTAATTTGTTACCTTTTGAGTGTGTTCTTTTTTATAACACCTTACTACGGGACGAACTAGTCGTGCGCCTGGTGGTAAGCGACATGCCTATCCATAACAGTTGCAGTGCCATTCAGAGTTTTAAATCGCAAAGATCTTAGGGGTAGTGCCTCTGCGCCAGTCGCCCTGAGACATAAGTTGACAAGTCTCATGTGCAGTAATTTCACCAGCACCCTTAGCCTTCCAAACCGGAACGCAGTAATGCTCACACTACTGCTTGGTGGCAGTACTTCCCTGGACGAACTCTTTTACAATAAACTCTACTGCTACTAGATTGCAACAACAAACACAATGATTGCTGTAACAATTTTAACTACCTATCTATGCATTTACTAATGCTGTGATTAATTCTATCAAGAATCGCGATCGGCGACATCACTTAATTAAAATCCAGTTTTTTAGTGTGTGTAAGTTGCTACCAAAATAAAATTGCAAAACAACAAAATCTTTATACAATTGGCAAAATTTCTAGCTCCAACAAACAACTGGCTCAAAATTCCTTCATTACTGACAACAATGCCTACAAACGGCTACAAACAAATAACTCCGTCCAATTTAAATAACAAGCTCGCAAAGCTGAAAAACAACCCGTAACCGAAGTTGGGAATAAATTAGCAACCCCCTTTAACCCCCTCCTCCCCTACCTCAATGTGTACATTGTGCAAAATATTATTTGCCTTGCCAGACAATAATAGGATCTATTGCCACGCCCTGACATGTTAGCTTTGGGGAACTCCGCCCAAACTGCTTCGTTACCCCATTGGCTGGTATTATCTTCTGTTTCTCTTTCATCTATGTTCTGCCTCGTTCCCGCGTGTAGCTTTTCCCTCAACGCCCGAGGGGTAAATGTTTTGGTAGGAAACATATACGAGGGTTTTTTAGAGCTTCGTTCGTATTGTCAACGCGTTTCAGGAATATTTTTTACGCGAGTTTTATTTGAAGATGTCTACCTGAATGGAGTATTAGAATTCTCTATATGAGATTTTTTTCAATAGCATCACGAAGTCTTTTAAGTTGGGATTAAAGGATCCCTTACATATGACTGTAAACAGTTTCTTTTGCTCCTTTTTCTTGGATCTTTTTTGCTTTTTTTATTACGATTTTCGTCTTTTACGTTATACGCACTTTATTTTTATCTCGTTTCCTGTCCCGACATTGTCGTTTGAAGTCAAAATATGACAATAGTTAGTGTTAGGCACCTTGGTACTATCCAACTACATACCTGCCTGTAGTAATGAATATTTACGAGCGGTTAACTAGATAAGTATTCCAACTGTGAAGTATACTTATACAGGACATAAGGAAATTTACTTGACTGATGTCCAATATCCTTTTGATCGAAATGTTTTTAATCTAGGTCGTTAAGATCGTACCATATTTTGGTCTGTCTTATTTGGATAACAGACATCAGTTTGTCTTCAAAGGCATTAATATAATGTGTTCCTTAAAGGCCGAAACCGCAGACAAAAGAATAGAACAAAAAGCCTCATGCCCGACACAAAATAAATACCGCAACAAAGTTGAATCGATGAGCACGGAGAGCGGTCTAAATAATTATTAGTCAACGGCCTGAAATTCATGCACAAAGCTCCGACCCGCAGTAATAATAACGTCAATTGTTGTGTTTACTGGAACGTAAACGCGGCCCGGGGCGGTGGGGCTGCCCCCTGATCGAGAGGCGGAGTCTGCGGAGCCGACCCTCTAGTGCCAGCGGACACGTCACAGTCCGCGCCGCGCCACGCGTCACGACGCACCTCTGACATGTGACCGAACAGTATGGAAGATTGTGACATATCCAAATACCGCGAAATGATCATCGAAGGCGATCTTCCCTTAGACCTGCGACCACCGCCTCGCTTGTACCTGCCACATTATCTCCGTGACGATAGAGAAGAATATCCACAAGACGATACCTACGTTTCCGTCGACGAAGACACACCAGACATCCCGCCGCCGTCGATCGATTCAGACAGATACGAAGCCCCAAGTCCAAGCGACAAGAAACCCTCATCACCCAAGAAACCGAAGCAGAAGTCATCATCACAACTTATCAAACCGCCTTATTCTTATATCGCTCTCATCACAATGGCCATCCTCCAGTCACCACATAAGAAATTAACCCTCAGTGGCATCTGTGAATTCATCATGACCCGGTTTCCTTATTACCGTGAAAAGTTCCCGGCGTGGCAGAATTCCATCAGGCATAATTTGAGCCTCAACGACTGCTTCATCAAAATCCCGAGAGAGCCAGGTAATCCCGGCAAAGGAAATTATTGGACGTTAGATCCTTTGGCGGAGGATATGTTTGATAATGGAAGTTTTCTGAGGCGACGGAAAAGATATAAGCGGCCGACGCCTTCTTTGCAGCATGCACATGCCGTGGTCGCAATGCTGGCTCGAGAAGCTTACGCTCCGTTGCTTCCGTTGCCTTGTTATTTGCCTCCTACTCCGTTACTATCTTTGCCGCGTCCACCGCCTGCTACGTTAAGGCCAGTACCTTTACCTCCGCGTATAGCCGAAATGACTGACCCTCGAGGGAAGCGATCGCGGAATGGATTTTCCATTGAATCAATAATTGGATTACAAGACAGTTCCTCAGCAGAGCCGAGGAAAAGTGCGTTTTCGCCTTTGCATCAGACTAATGGTCCTCCAGACGATTGGGCTAGATGAATGTACCTAAACGGGGGTGTGTCTACTCTCGATTCCTTCTGAGATTCCTTTCGAATCATCCCGACGGGGACTGGCGTCCTGAAACAAACGACTGATGTGATCTTATAAGAAGTGTTGACGAACAGTTGCAGTCTGGGTGTAAATTAGTTAAACGGGTATCGAATGAAACCAAATAATGTACCAATAAAGTAATTTATAATTATAGCTGTGTTTTTAACAAAATTAGTTAAAAAGAAAAAAGAACTTTTTCTTTTAAGATTATGAATGAGATAAAACAAAGATTGTATTTGAGATTTATCGAGTAAATTGGATTGTATTAATTTCCGATGCCAATAAAAATAGATATTAAATATAAGAATTTCGTCCGAGTGTTATGAACTGTGCCAAATTGAAAAAATGCAACTTTTTACAAAAAAAAATTTTTTGTCGATGTTGATCAGTTTTGGTTTTTAAAATTAAGTTCACGACACGTTCACTTCAAGGCACACGTCCTTTACATGAAAACGTACTAAGATTAAGGGGAAAGTCTTCAAGCATACGTTACATCTCAATCTAAAGTTGAGTCTGTAACAATACATTCAGATAGCCGCAGTGGCGGTAGCGATAGTCAATACCGTCGGTTAAAAATACTTTTATTACGTAAACAAACATTTTGTAACGATAGATAAACATACAATAAACAAACGAACACAGACATTAAAGACCTTGTCTTTTAATTTGCAAGTGTTCCATTTTTTTTGCAAGTGGTTTTTGTTCAAAACTTTCGGCCAATCCACGCAATTGATTTTTTTAATTTCATTTTTCATTCCATTTCAGTTTTTGTTTTGTTGTATTTATTAGTAAAAAGTTGCAATTAATATCAAAGAAAATCTAGTCATGTGATGTATATAGTAGTTAATTAAGTTCATTAGGAAGTAAGCTGTAAATAAATAGTAAATAGTATAATTATTCTGCAACGCAATATAATATTAAGTGGCCAATGTATTTACTTGTCATGTAGAATATTGTGTAAGTAATAATTTATTTTTAAGGTTTAAAAAATATATTATGAAACGTGCGTAACGTCGTTGTTTTACTTTAATCACATTAAACACACTTTTCTTACAATTTGTTTTTACAATTTTCCATCAAAAGGCTGTTGTTTATATAAAATTTGTTTATTTACTATTGATAGGAATACAAATAGTATAAATGTGTATAATATTTACGGAACTTAATATTAATCGTGAACACAATTTTGATACACAATCCAATTTCAGAAGAATACAATATTCAGTGACAAAGTCATTAAAAATACATTAAGCAAATTAAAGCTACTCAAGACCAATACATTTTTTTTTAAATAAGCCTGTTCAGTCTCATTGCTGGGCAAAGGCCTTCCCCCGCTTTTCCCGTAGTATACCTATCTGGTCAGTCCTTTAAAAAAGAGTCTAAGTCATCCCGCCATCGCCGTCATGGTGGACCGTGTCTCCTTTTTGAGTAGTGGGGCTTTCACTTTGTGGTTATCTTGGCGCACAACTGTTTGGAATGCGGCACACGTGACTAGCCCGTCCCACTTCAACTTTGCCACCTTTCGAGCTACATCGACAATTTGATGTTCCTGCCACGATCCATTAATTTGATACCTAATCTATACACCTAATTAATTTAATAATACACTTAATTAATTTAAAAAAAAAGAAAACTCCACTGAGATTCCAAATATTAATCATTTCAAAATGCATTGTACTTCAAAATTTTCAGGTATTAGCTACACAATGATGGAAATACGATATTAAAATTTAAGAATAATATTTATTGCCACTAAAACTACTACTAACTACTTATTTACTAACTAACTACTTATTTCGTCATTTGATTTTATGTGTAACGCAAAAGGTGTATAACAGCTTGCACATTAAGGAGAAATGAGACGCAAAATAGTAGTTTTGACGTATTACGATCACACGGAAAATATTCTTACTGAAAAATATGAATTTGAAAACAGAAGATACCGGTAGTGACATGTGGGACCCGACACACGATTATCTAAACTTCAACTCCATAAAAAAACACATAATCCCACAAAGTTGTCATTTTTACAACGTCCGTTTACGGAAAAATCAGTTTTATTCGATTATTATTATTTCTTTGAATTTTTTCTTCCATATCCCATAATAAATACGACAGGGGACTATGAGATTAACTTACAGAGAGAGAGAGAGAGAAAGAGAGAGTATATATTATTTCTGATAGGCAAATGTTTAAATATCCTGCAATGAATTTCGTCCTTTGATCATCAATAATTTCAATCAATCAATCATTTCGATCAATCCTTCCATCTTTGCATCCACACGCTTCAAAACCTAAGCAATTCATTTTCACAAGTTTGTACACAACTATAAGAGCTCAGAAAAGTCCACAAAATAACATCATAATTTATGAACTCTAAACCAAATTCATATTATAATCATTGCTCAAAGACAAGCAAGATTGACAAGTCACTACATCATCACTGTGTGAGGCACGAAATCCATACAACCTTAGAAGGTAATCTAAATAAGCAGAGCCCGTGACGCTAGACCAAATCTCTGGATTACTGGGCTTATGATAACGCGAATTACGTCACTTGCGCGCGCGCGTGGTATGGGTGGTCCTAGAGGATCTTGGCTTCATTCATGTGGGCTGTATGATTTAGATAAACAATTGTATTCATTCTGTTCTAATTTTAAACCCTACCTAAATTTGTTATACTATCTTTTAACCCGATTTGTGGGCCGCCTTAAACCTGTCTTTTGTTTGTTTCTGTATTTTGTCTTTGAGTGGTATAAAGAAAGATCGAAAAAAAAAAGTATTTGAATATGTATTACAAAACAGACCGAATATAGAAATTATATGAATTTGTGGATTCTTAAAGTTGCAATTACTTTGTAGTATATTTTGGTGTATTTCTTTCAATTTGTGGTGTAGAGTTATCAAATCATAATTTTCTTTTAAAGTGTTATTTATTCAATTCCAATAAATATAAAGTCTTTCTCGACTTTCTTTCTTTAAAATCTTCATCATAATTCACAGCCCGATTCCAGCTCACAGCTGAGTATAGGCCTCCCGTAGTTTGTGCCATCGTGACGTATCTTCGATCCATTTCACCGAGTCCCACGTTTCTGTAACCTCTTTCGGTTCAGTACAGTAGGAGCTTCATTTGACATCATTCAAACTGAATCTAAAATAATCACCCGGATATATAAGCTGACAAGTCCCATGTGCCTGTAATTTCACCAGGACCCTCACACTTCAAAACCGTCCAACAGTAATGCTACTGCTTGGCGGCAGAAACAGGTAAGGTGGCAATGATTCCCTGAACGAACTCTTTCATAAGGAGTTCTACTGCTACTAAAAAAGTATCATTAAATAAAAACTGGCAAAAGTAAAATTACAACACGAGGAAGGTATCTTTATGTACTGGCAAAACTGGTACAATCGACCAACGAGGACGGTGTCCGTACTGACAAAGATACCACCGAACCAAGACGAACTTAAGCGTACTGGAATACGACTAGCGGGGCATCCGACAAAATGTATGAACCGAGCCTTACCGAGGTGAGATCTTCATTTCATTGTTTTAATTTCATATTTAAAATACGAAAGAATCCATTTGGACATAATTAATAATATTTATTGTTTACATTTTTTATGTTTTCTTTGATTATTGTGGCACCTACAGGTAATGAATTTAGAATTAAATATGTTGTTAAGTCTTCGTCTTTATTCCTAAGATTTGTTATATCTACCACTGGTTGTCCTTAAATAAATAATTCAAAATGGGTATATGATAACATGGGACCTGTAGAGAGCCCGAAACGTTGGTTTGTTTGAAAAAACAAATATACGCGATTTAAATCCGGAAAAATAGTTTCATGTCCTATACCTATTTTTAATTTATTTATTTAAGGATAACCAGTGGTAGACATAACGGTTGACCAACCGTGATCATGGGACCTGTAAAGGACCCTTAAACGTTGGTTTATTTGAAAAAACAAACATACGCGAACTAAATCCGGAAAAATAGTTTAATTTCCTAAGTGTAACAATCGCGGAAACTTAAGAAATCGATAAAAATAGGTACTCACTAATGTCTAACTTACATAACAAGAGTCGAGGCGTCCTTCGGTTTAAGGGTCCTTAATATTTTGTTAGTATAGCCAGTGACCTTAGGTTTCGAATTGCTTAAAGACATAAATATGACAAAGTCTCCTCACTTCACATCGTTTCGTAAGAGAACACCCAAACCGGGGCAAATAAAAACTAGTTACACAGAAATTGTAATGTTAGACTAACAAACAAACAGAGTTTGAGTGAAGATCTTGGTGAGTATATTCACTTACAGAAGTGGTGCTTACATGTTAATTGATAAAGAACAAAAATTGTTTCAATAGGCACATGGAGCAATGATATGGTCGGTTTTATATTATAGTTTAATATCTAATAGTATGTTTTCTAGTGTCGATCCCGTAAAAATATATTTTTTACGTGGAGGGGTTGTTGACCCGCCGCACAACCCCTGAAATACTGGAAGACCACCCGTCGTTGGTCAGCGAGTCCATCGGACTTAAGGCTGCCTTTCCACCAGAGATGTGCGATGTAGCGAGGTGTGCGAGGAAAGAATCCACCAATAGAATCATATAAAATGACTTCACTTTCTTAGTCTCGCTTAGCGCAGCTCCGGTGGAAAAGGGTTAGCGGAGCTAAGTATTTATACATACATAATCTCAGTACAAAGTACTAAAAAAACCGACCTCAAAGGTAAGTGGAATTACGTCTATTTGCTAAGTTTTATTGAAATATCCCCTAGTTCGCCACTATACAGGACTTGACGCTGGAGATAATAAAAATCGGTTATCACTACTCAAAGTATATTGAGAGAAAAACGCCTTGAATTGGAGAAACAGCAAAATCAACCATTAAAGTAATAGCTTCTAAATGAAAGTTAGGCGCTATTTATAAAAATGAATCTTCATGCGTAAACAGCCACCCTTCGAGAAGGATACTTTTCTTCAAAATGAAATGGGACCACAATGGAAGGGGGTACTTCCATTGTGTACTTTCCAACAAAAAAAGAATCATGAAACTCGGTTCACAAATACCGGAGTTGTCGCGTAACATACATACAAAAAAAAACATACAGACGA